AAAATTCTAAATACTCCTCTTTTCTTTTTTTAGCGTGTGATATAATTTAATTAACCTTAAACGAAAAATATAAATTTTAGAATTAGTGCGCTTAAGTATGATATAAGATATTTGTGCAGCAATAAAAAATTTAAATTGAAACTTCTTTTGTATTTATTGATAGTTTTTTGAACTTGTATGTAGTAGTCTAATTTAATTTTATATTTTTATCGTATAAAAGGTAATTTTATATTGGATTGTTTGTTTTTTGAGTTAAGACTTTGTCAAAAATAATTTTTCTATATTCTACATAAAGTTATGATTACGTACACTTTTTTTCTCAAATCTTACTTGGTTGGATTATACTGAAGTGGTAATTGTTGTTTATGTATAAAGGTTAGAATTCCTTCTAATAAATCTAGTTACTTTCATATCGAAACGTATGGATTCAAGATTCTATTATAATATTTTTTCAATTTGAGTGTCTCGTGCGATATGTAACTTACTTGTGTTCAATTTTGTATAAGTATATCAGTGTTTATTTATGCACAACTAAAATTAGAACGTAAATATAATTTTCTATAATAACAACTAGTAGTTAAACGATGATTTGACAAATCAACCGGCTATCTCATATTGATGACTCACATTCAACACATATTTACTTAATTATGTTCACTACAACAAAAGGGACATTCGATAACAACAAATTTTCCTTCTAGCAGCAATTGAATTGATATCAATGTGTTCAGAGTTGCTAAAATCTTTAACGACGAGTTGTGGTTATTTTGCAGGTATACCATAAGTACAAGCAATATCATGAGCAACTACAAATGGTTGTGGCATCATTTGAATCAGTTGCTGGACTTGGAAATGCAGCACCATTTGCAAACGTAGCTATAAAAACTATGTCAAAACACTTCAAATGCCTTAAAGATGCCATAATTGACCAACTTCAATTTACAACAAGAAAATCTTCACATGGTCAAATTAATTGTGAAAGAGGAGTTGGAATTTCTGGCAAAGGAATTTATTGCCAAAGACAAGAAACTCAACCTGTTTGGAGACCACAAAGAGGGCTTCCTGAACGTGCTGTCACTGTACTTAGGGCTTGGTTGTTTGACCATTTTCTTCACCCGTAAGTATCAATTTATGTGTCTTACTTTCTTTTATTTAATCAAATTATTTATATATAGTTACTTTTTTAACTCTAATACGGTTAACTTGATATGTTTAAGGGTGTGTTTGGTACGAAGAAAAATGTTTTCCATGGAAAACGTTTTCCTAGAAAATGTTTTTCTAAAAAACAAGTAGATTTTGGACTTATTTTATCATGTTTGGTTGATGAGTAGAAAATATTTTCTGTGTGTTTAATTTATGAATAAAATTAACTTTTTGAGGGGTTGGGGGTAGGTGGGGGCTGGTAGGGGGTGGGTACGGGGGCCAACCGGGTGGGGTGTAGGAGTATAAAAATAAAAATTTGAAATTGAAAATAATTTTTCAGAAAATGTTTTCCTTCATACTAAACACACTCTAAGACTACACAAAAACATTTTGGTACTCACTCTGTCCCAAATCAGTTGTCGTGTTTCACTTCATGGATAGTTAACTTGACTAATCTTCAAAGTTGAATTTGATTAGATCAACTTCATCTATTACAATTAAAATATAAATTTTTAAAAACTATATGAAAAATATTACGAGTTGCAATTTTCATTGCAATTTGATGAAAAACTGTGTTTTAAAACATTGGTCAAAGTTTTACATAGTTTGACTCTCGAGAAATGATTTGAGATGAAAAGAGTATATTCATAAATATATATTTTAGTTTAAAAACATAAAATTCAAGAATTACTAGAACGTATCAATTAAAACGGAAAAAGTATCACTGCTCTATTCAAAAGAAGATTTAACTTACATGGACAGATACTGGCACACATTTTGGACTATAATTTACCGTTATAATATCTTATTAGCTAATTTTACTTATCATATAAAGTTCATTTGCAATTATATCTTTTAGATGATTTAACAGTATTAAAATCATATTACTTGATTTTATTGCAGTTACCCCACGGACACTGATAAAGTTATGTTAGCCAAACAAACTGGACTCTCAAGAAATCAGGTTTGTACATTTTCAAACATATTTTTACACTAATTAATATAGTTTTAACGTGTTATAACATGTTAGTTATAATTTTTATCGAATTAATAATATGATAACACATATGCTTAGGTTTCTAATTGGTTCATCAACGCGAGAGTAAGACTTTGGAAACCTATGGTAGAAGAGATTCACATGCTTGAAACTCGAGAAGGTCATAATAAATCTTCTTCACATAGAGAAGGACCTAACAACAACAACAACAACGATAGTAATAATCCAATTGAACATTTTCCTATGAGTAATTCAAATGCATGTGAAAGTAATACACCATCTACATCAACATCAAGATTACAAGACCTTCCATCTAAACGAACTCGAAATGAGTTAACAAATATTCCCAATAATATTGGAAGAATCGCGGATTCAATAAATTTATCCTATGGAAATTTGTCAACTGGAGTTGGTGGTGGTGTATCGTTAACGTTAGGGCTTCATCAGAACTCCGGTAATATTGGTTTATCGGAGCCATTTCCGATGAATGCAGCTAGACGTTTTGGTATCGATAGTAGTACGAGTAGTGGAAGGGTTATTTTTGGTGGATTTGATGAACAAAATGGACAATTTGGAAGAAATAATAGTATGGTTGGTGGGCAATTCTTGCATGATTTTGCTGGTTGAATGAACAAAGCAGGACGTCTAGTGTGACATCGTTATTTTTGGATATATTCGAAAGGTTATATTTTGTTGTATGCTATTAATACTTGCTCTGTTGTTTCGTCCAAACAGTTATGAGGTGTAAATTAAATTGGAGGTTGATCACAAGGTTCTTGATTTTAGAAGATACATTTCAATTTCATGTGTCTTTGTTTTGCTAGTAAAAATTGTTTACATTATTTAACTTAGTATATATATATATATTCTTTAGTAGAATGGAAGATTTATGCTTATTTTTATTTGAATAAAGTTCTTTCGAGGATAATCATAAGGAAGATCTTTGACTGAAAAAAGTATAACATAAAATATATTTATATCATTTTATATGGATATTATAGTAGATTTAATTTATTTTGGCTCGAATCGAATGATTTAAAATTATCATGTCTAGTTTTTTTGGGCATATTGTGTGTATATATGCTAACATATTCATGCATTTGATATTAAGAGTCCCAAACAACATATATAGCTAACTAAAGAAAAAGAAGATGTATTTATAAAGTTGAATATGTGATTCAAACAACACATTGTTATTTTGGGAAACAAGAAAAAGAAAAATGTATTTATATGGGTGTGTTTGTTTAAAATATTTTTCAATTTTTATGTTTTGTGTTATAGAAAATATTTTTTTAATCTATAGCAAAACAATTCCCTTAAATGAAGAGGAAAAACAACTTTTCTAATGAAATTAGCTAAGGAAAACAAATTTAGATATTCTGAAATTCATTATTTCTTTTTCATCCACTCGAACTAATTACTAAGAAAGTGACTACAAGTTATGCTATTTCTTTTTATTTTTTTTTAAAGGCGAAATAATCTGAAAGACCGCGTATCTAGCTCCTCGGTTTGTCATTTTTTGCTTCTTGGCTCAATGATGGAGGTTGCTTTATGCATGAGCTATCTTTGTTTGTTTTGGTTGCATGTTTTTCTTTTTTTGAGCAGCTTTCCATTGAACAATCATTTCAATCTGTCCTCTCTCTTTTTTTACCTTTCTTTTTTAACTAATAAGTTCTGTGTCACTAAATAAAATGTCTTCTTCCTAAAGAAATTTGGGAATCTTTTATAAAGGGAGCAGTACTTAAAAGTTTTTTTAATTCCCCATTTTAACTTTTTCTAGTGGGTGGGGTGGGCCTTTAATTTTCTCATTATTTTTCCTTAAAATAATTGAAACATATAATTATCGATTGCTTTCTTTGCTTTTCGTTTCGATATTACTGTTCTCTTTTAATTTATTTTATAAATAAATTGATTATAAATTTTCATTTTTACATATATTAAAATGACTTATAATCATATAAATTTTTATAATTTATTTATTTAAAAAAAAATAACCTAATTTAATTTGAAACAGAGTTTAAGAAAAGAAAGAAACTTTTAATCTTGTGATTCTAAATTAAAGTTATATTAAATGTTTTAATCTTGTGATCTTAAACATGCCACGTGGAAACTTAAAATTAAAATGTTGCCAAAAAAAAAGAATCATTTTTTAAAAAAAAACAAATTAAAAAGAAAATAGAGACATTCTTTGTTAAACGAACGAAGTAATAACTTTTTAAAAACATTTTTAATCCAATTAAACAAATTCACATATGCGAAGTATACATCTTATGGATGAGAATATAATTGAGATGCTTTGTAATCATTTGTTTCTGTACACCATTTGGTGCAGTATCTTAATAATTATTGTCTTTTTTCTTTTTTCCTTTTTAAGGGCTGTAAAAGTAAATAGTAGCTTTAGAGCGTTAGAAGAGCCATTATAAAAATATTATTGTTAATATTATAAAAATATGAGTGCATTTCTCTTAAGTAAGATAAAAGTGGATATTTCATTTGGCAAAGTAATGGATTGATGTTAAACAAGAATTACAACTGAAAATTGTAAAAAAACTAAGGCAGTTAGTATAGCTCCATTTGAAGTAGAATTATTTCTTAAACTTTTTGTATCCACAAGGCAAACTCCTAGTAGAAAGTAGTGACAAGATATTAGATGCTTCATAGTCCATTGAGAATGGAAGCAGGAACAACACATCCTACAACTGTGAGTTTGGTTGGGTGATGTGTACGCAACTTTACTCATATTGGCGTACCATATATATATACACAAATAAAATGATACACGAAATGAGACACCCTTAACATAACAAGTTGTTACTCTAGTGGTCTCACCTCCTTGGAATGAGGAAGTGCTTCCGAAGCATAGGAAACAAACACTCAAATTAGTCTTTATTATGCAACATGCATGTGGACATAGGTAATTCTGTGTTGCAGATTACAGAAATGTTATGAAAAACAAAATGACTGTACAAAAAGTCGTAATTAGACGAAACAACCTAACCTGTAAAACATCTGGAAAAATACTTGTATAATGGGAAAGCTTAGTACATCCATGACAAATCTTGCTTGAATGTGACAGACTTTGCAGCTCCTTGAACTCCCCTTTCTGATATCTGTGGACAATCCTCTACAACCAAAAAGTCTAACTTGTAAGCCCCGACGAGAGGTTTCAACCCATCATCGGTCACTCCCAAACACTTCCTCAACCGTAATGTACATAATTGAGGAATTTGGCTAGCAAGCTGCATTCCATCATCAGTGATTTCTTGGCACCTTACAAGTTCCAAGATTTGGAGATATTCTGCTGAACGAAGAGCTAGCATTCCAATATCGTCAAAAGAATACACATGGTCAAGAGCGAGTTCTCTTATTGGACACATTTGTATTAACATAAGTATTCCATTCAAAGTAAAGGAAGAAAATGAAGGGAACTCTCCATCAGAGAAAGACAACCTAACCGTATCAAGCAAAGAGCAGTTCTGAGCCACTGCCTTTAGACTTTCATCTGTTAACCGCAATGGATTGTTTTGTAGCAGAGGAAGCGAGAAGTCTGATGGAACTCGGAGAGAGATTGATCGAAGGTTGCTTGATTTCTGGGCCAAACATACTATGTCACAGTCCCTAACCCCAACACACATGTCTAAGTGAATTTTTTCCAAATTCTTGCATTTCCCTATTACGCATGCAAGCCCTCTCCCGGGGCTGATAACACAGTTCACTAAACAAAGTTCAAGCATGTTCTCACATGGGATCGATTGCTTTTGCCACCGGTCAACTGCCAAACGGTCATAACGCTTCATATATCTGTAGTTGGCATCAACCTCAAATTGCAGTCTCTTCAATTTTCTCCAAGTAGGTCCAAGCTTAATCAAATCACCTTCTCCGATAACCCTACAATTCTTGATGCAGAGATCTTCAAGCATTTCATGTTTTCCAAGATATTCTAGCCACTCCATACTACTGACACTAAGACATCTAATCAGGTGAAGCACACTAAGGGCTTTGCAGCCCACAACAAGAGACAGGATGCCACAACCAGTAATTCTGGGAGCAAAGTTCAACTTCAAGGATTTAAGTTTCGAACAAGAAGCCAAGTAACTAAGACCAGCATCCGTTATGAAAGTACAATAACTCAACACGAGGTCCTTGAGCAAAGGGCAACAACGTGAAAGGATGAGAAGACCGTTATCATCCAACTGCTTCCCTAACTTAGACATCCAACCAGAGTAAATAATTTCCACTTTCTCCAAGTTATGGAATCTGTTGCATAGAGCGGTTAATGCATCACAGACAGGATGTAAACCACACCCTACGCGTATAGATATTATCAGCCCATTATCCAATTTGTTGAAGCGTTTGCAAGTTAGGGATACAGAGTTCCTATCAGTAGTTCTTTTAATCCTTCCCAATATATCCAGAAGTAATTCAGCTGGTAAATTATCCATCTGGATTCGGACTTCTCTATCATCAATTCAGTAATACAGTAACAACCTAAAACACATAAAACTAGTTTTAACAAAAGGTTTTATTAAATTAACCTACAAAAACAAATGAAAGAGCATGCGGGCAGTATGAGATAGTTACCAAAAAAAATGATAGCAGTAGCAAAAAGTAGGCTATTTTGTTATGGAAATTCTCTGAATCTCTCTCATCCCCAATTTTGAGAACCCGAGCTTCTCATCCCCCTTCACTCTACCTTACATTTCAGTCTTATATCCTCACCTTCCTTCGTTGGATTCTCTAATATAGACTCAGCTGTAATTCAGTCCTATTATCAAGTAATATAAACAATATTTGGAGCTTCACTGTTACACGAACTCACAGATAATTCACCTTTACTGCTAGAAATCCACCGTACTCTATCTCTTTCATCTGTGTTACCTCAATGACCCTGCACGGGCAAAGCAGATCAGTTAGTGCAGTTAACACCCAATTATTTAAGTTTCTTCTCACTGTTAGTGTCCATTCTTCTTTAGGGAAGTAATTGATTACACAATTAGCATCACAATCAAAGAGTCAAATCCAGACACTTTAAGATGAAAAAACCATTGGCTTAATGACCTCCGATGATTCCTACCATCCCGAGTAAATGGTGACAAATGAACATAGATCCCTACAATGATACTCTTCTATTATAAAACTACCGTAGTCACAGTCTGTCATAATGTACATTCTTTGTCTGCCTGAATTTTTTTTTAACACATAGCAAACTCTTCAACAATATCTGCAATTTGAGGGATTGCATTCACAGTCCTCTTTATCCAGTTACAATAGAAAATGATGCTGATTCTCCGCGTGATTATCTCACATCCTCACACTCAACAAACAAACAAACAAAGATGATCTACTGTTGACATGATAACACTCATAATGCTAGCAAATGTATGTCTTTTTTCTACTTTAACCAGGATGAGATAACATCCATGATTTCCTTTAAGGCGGTTCGAAAAAAGAACGTAGTGCCTAAGATTAGAACTTGGAACCTCAAGGTGAGTTTTGAATTCACCAACCACTAAGTCAACCTTTAATCTTAAGTAGGTTCAAAATCAATATAGACATAAAAATTCTTTCAATTAAGTGTAATTTTTTGCCAAGGAGGTTCGGGTGACCCCGCTCAACTACCTCTACGTCCGCCCCTGATTACAAATAGACACAAGTTCTATTAATCTAATTAACTAGATGTGTTTTTTTATCATCAAAATATGCAAAACGTATGCTTTTTCTTTTCACAACCTCTAGCAGACTTCTCTATGCATTACAAATCTCAACTAATCCTTCATAGAATACCAACATAAGTATTTTTCAACTAAGGGACTGTTTGGTAATATAAGCATTTTGCAGAAATTGATCTCTTGTAAAATAAGTAAGTTTCTGACTTACTTCTATTGTTTAATTGGGAAAATGCACAAGTATTCCCTAGCCTATGACTGAAATCCTAGAGACACCCACTAACTAAACTAAAATCCTATTATCCTGTACCCATTTTCTTTTGTAATTTTGTGCACCTTTGAAATCCTAGAGATACCCACTAACTAAACTAAGATACTATTATCCTGAATCCATTTTCTTTTGTAATTTTGTGCACCTTTTTAGCTTATGTGACATCCAAATATCTCCCCGTGCTTGGATCCAAATATCTCCACGTGCTTGGAGTCACGGAGTCTGCCACGTAAAACAAAAATTTTACAAAATTACAAAAAAATAAATTCAGGAATTATAGGAGCTTAGTTTAGTTAATGCGTGTATCTAAGATTTCGGTCATTCTAGAGGGTATTTGTGCATTTTTCCTTGTTGATTAGTAACCAAAAATATATTATTCCAAGTACTTCCGTTAAGGATGCCATTTTCAATTTTTCTCTTACGGAAAAAATGTTTCTAACCAACCAAATATGGAAAATATTGTATTTCCTCCCTACCAAAACACACCCTAAAGATCATTACAAATCAAAATAGAATCTTAATCCCAAAAAATGAGGAAAAAAATTCGTGACCAATCGTAAATCTCTAGATTGCATTAATAAATTCTAATTGAACCCGCAATAGATAAATAAAAAGGTCATAATTGAAAAAATACACTATAATTCTTCGAAGAGAAACAGATTGAACTCACCTGAAGAGAGCATGAAGAAGAAGAAAGATGAAGAAATTGGCAATTCAATTGAGGGGTTTAAAGACACGTACATACCAGCAAACTATCAAATGTCACAATTGCCCCCAGATCGATTAGTTCTTTGAATACACGTGTATTCCATGCTAACTATTAAAAATATATTAACGTCTTAATTGTTTATCTTTTTAGATCAACTTCCATTCAACATAAAATTTATATTTGTATATTATAATTATACTTTGTATAGTTATACTTAATAACAAATAGTTTGTTGTGGATCATTAGATTGTATATCTCGTTGACAATGTTTTGGATTTGTATAATTTCGCTGACAGACTATTTGTTTAAATCGTTGACAGCCTGCCAATTCAATTTTATTTGTTTGTATATCTACATAAAATTTAAATTTGTACACAATTGAATTTTAAATAAAACATTTGTATATTGAATCTCTCTCGCTTTATACAACATCCAGGGGCGATTTAACGTGATTGGGGGCCTAAAGTAGAATTTTAAATCGGGGCCTAAAATATAAACAAACTTTATATACTTATTTATTCAACATTATTTTTCTTACACTATTTAGATAAAGATGGTGTTTTTTCAATTATTAATTTTAGGTAAAATTTTATCAACTCAACAATGAAAAACATTCTTTCCGTGAGACAATTAATATATGAATTGTTAACATAATTTTATAAGTAATTAGTTGACAAATATTAAATAAAGATAATATTTAAAATCATAAAATTTGACGCAAAAAGTTGATAACTGGATATATCCCCCATTTTAATATGATTTTAGTAATGCTTGAAACTAAAATTTAAAAAGAAATAAAATAGAATTTGTAACTCACTATATTCAACATTTTTCACTACTAATTTTTATTTTTAACAAAAAAGTAAAAAAATGTTAAAGTGGGTAAAATAATATATATTTAAAAAAAATTATACTTTTTATCATAAATAATCAATTTTTATATAAAACTTTTAGCTCGTGATTTATTCTTGATAAAAATTTAGGGGTCTCTTAAATTCGAGGGCCTAAGGCAAAGGCCTTATTTTGCTATGCATAAAGCCGACACTATACAACACAAATTATTAATTGAAATTTGTATAATTTACATTTGTATAAAGCGAGAAAGACAACAATTTGTATATAGGTTAAATAATTGTATATTATACATATGTATTTGTATATTCTGCTGAATTATACATATATAAATATTACTAATCATACAAACTCAAAGTCAGCCCACGTAATTAATGTATGACGATAGTCGCGAGTATTATAGCAAATTCTAGTTATGATGAGTAATTAAATAGTATAAATTTGCTTTGCTGCCTTATTTCCTTTTTATAAAGGGAAAATTGTATATAATAGCAAACTAATAACCTAAATTAAATGGAATAGCCAGGGTTTGATTTAATTGTGCTCCATAGCAAACGTTAGCTAAAATTTGCCAGCGTCTCTCTCCCAAAAATCTCGCTCGCCATTCTCCATTCTCGCTCGCCTCTCTCGCTTTATACACAGAAGTGTATAATTCTGTTTCTGTTTTGTATAAAGCGAGAGAAAATTGTATATACACATGCAAAAATGTATATCTTCGTGTTATACACTTAATTATACAATTTACAAACATTTTACTTCAAATATTCCAGAGAAAAAGGCCAACGAATTATACAATTGTAGTGAAATACAATTTTCTCTAGCTTTATACAACAAAAGTGTATAGATTGTGTTTCTGTTTTTGTA